TAAATTTATTTATCAAATTGTGAACCAAAACATCTAAGCAGAAGTTCAAATGTACTACCTAAAAGTTGCATCTGGCCTGTAGACATTTTTGATTTGGCAGAAACACTGTTGACAACTTAAAAATAATAATAACTTGTTTTCAACATTAACAATTTTCAAATAGATATCTGGTTTCTCATTAAAAAAAAAATTGACACTGAGCCATATTCTTATTTTGCAACAGTCAGCTGGCAATGCGTAACAGCTTCCCCCAAGACAGAGTGCACCCTTTCCACATTCCCTGCTTTCTTTCACCTACGTTTCTTGTCTGCCCCTCCCTACACCCATCACCACTTGAGATTCTCCCCCGTGCACTAGAGTACAATCTGCCCTCACAGAGCCTTCACTATTAACATGAGTACACAAAAATACTCGAAGCTCCTGCTAGCTCTGTAACAATATCCTCAAAAGCAAAAAGTTTCAGATGTAATTTATTTTTACTCTAAAAATAATACATATGCAATACAGAAAATTTAGAAAATGAAATGAAAGAAAAGCTATTAAATCACCAGTGATTTTGCTACCTAGAGACAATCATCATTAATACCTCAGAATGCATTTTGTTTTCCTGTCTTTTTCCATTGTTATATTCAAGGCTATGCTAGTAGTTTGGGTGGGTTTATATTTTTGTACACATTAAAGCCATTAGTATTTTGCTTGGTGCTTACAGCATGGGATTTGCTTAGCAATTATGATTTCCTGGAAATAAAAATCACCTACTTATAACTTTTTGTTTAATGCACTGTTACATATATTGAAATATAATACTTTAATTTATTTAAAACTTATTATATGCATTGGCCTTGTAATAACATTTGGAACCGGTATGAGCTTCTCAGAAGGCATATAAAATGCTTTGAAGCTTAGATAATAAAATCCATGACTTGGGTCTGGTAAAGAAGAGTATGCTGTGACTTTTGTTTTCAGAATTTCAAATGTCTATAATAGTCCACTTCAGATGACTATCAATTAGAGGTGGACTGTAGTTATACCATGCAATTTACCCATGTTTGTACATAAAAATACTTGAGAGACAGCATGTTAAATGATGAAAGTAAATACAAAACAACCCTTGTTCCATCCCTCTGATACCCAGGAACTAGATTAGCCTCTAGACTTCAAGAAAAAAGAGCATAAATTGACCAAGATTAAGTTTCTAGCCATGCTTGGTAGCACCTGCCTGTAATCCCAGTGGCTCAGGAGACTGAGGCAGGAGGATCATGGGTTCAAAGCAGCCTCAGCAAAACTGAGGCACTAAACATCTCAGTGAGACCCTGTCTCTAAATAAAATACAAAATAGGGCTGGGGATGTGGCTCAGTGGTCGAATACCCCTGAGTTCAATCTCTGGTACAAAAAAAAAAAAAAATTCTGTCATGTTTCATTTTAGCCTTTCTACTGGAGTATTATGTAGAAATTAAGATCATAGATTATATATAGAAGAATATGATAAAATTTCTGGATGCCCGAGTTTTTGGAGCTTTATCTTGCTTTGCCAGCTGTTTCTTCTATGAAAGCAAGGTCACTTGGGACTTGGATTTTTTCCTAGAACTATGGTGTGAAAATAAAAGTAAAATTTCTAAAATCTTTATAGAAATTGTTGATAATGGAACATAAACAGTAGTTATCTCTTCTCTTTTAAATGTAATTGATAAGTTTTCAGAGATTTCCAGATGCCTCTGATAGCTGCAGAATAAGAAAAGAAATTATGAATTTTTTAAAAAATCATTGTTTTCTGTCCAAGAAAATTACAAAGTGTCAGGAAAGATTGTTGTTTGAATGTGGTCTATTATTATTATTATTATTATTAGTTATATATGACAGCAGAATGCATTTCAATTCATAGTACACATATAGAGCACAATTTTTTCATGTCTCTGGTTGTACACAAAGTGGAGTCACACCTTGAATGTGGTTCTTTATGGTCAATTTGAGATTATTTTTAGGCCTTTGTGCTGTAAATAGTAGCTTTGACAACATTAAAAACAATTCAAACAACTGTCATAACTAATATCATTTTGAAGTTACTCCAAGTTGTGCTTTTCCTGCTTGAACTTTTAAGCATTGATTATTTTAACATTCACTTAAAGAATACCTACTGTGGGAGCTGGGGCTGTGGCCCAGCGGTAGAGCGCTGGCCTCGCACATGTGAGACCCTGGGTTCAATCCTCAGCACCACATTAAAAAAAAAATGGATAAGTGAAGGTATTGTGTCCAACTACAACTAAAAAATAAATATTTTTTTTAAAAAAGAATGCCTACTGTGTGCCAGGCATTACGCTAAGTACTGAGAGAAAATGATAAACAAGAAATAGTCCTTTTCCTTGTTTTAGTCTAGAGAAAGACAATTACATTTCAGAGCAACGATAAAGTGCCTTTCAGAGAAGGAAGTATCAAGCTTTGAAATTCACAACAGGAACATACTGGTGCAAATCAAACTGCAGAAGTGAGAACAAATGAAGAAAGTATGTGATAGCCAAGTCTTAAAATCAAGAGTTTCTCACGTGAACAGGTAATGAAAGTCATTTCAAGCAAAAGATACATATGTGTGGAGTTATGGACATGTGATAAGAAGGCAAGGCAAGTTTAGGGAAGTAAAATTGTTTCAGCATGACCAAGAAGTTAAGTTGCAGAGAGGAAAAGAGTGCTGTCAGATAAGGCTGAATTGAAGGACAGATGTCAGATAACAAAGAACCTTTATGTTCTGCTGAAGATTTGAGTTTTATTTTGAAGGCAATGGAAACTATGGAAGATTTTTTAATGGTACAGGGCCATGATCAGATTTGTGTTTTTAGATGATCACTTTGTTAGTAAAATGGAGAACCAGTGCTGGAAACAGACTAGTTAGGAAGCTGGTGCAGGCATCCAAGTAAGAAATGGTAATGGATGCACCTATATGGTGACAGGACAGAGAAAAATGAATGTAAGTGAAGATATTTAGAGTCAGTAACACCTGATAACTTCCTGCATGTGAAGAATGAGGGACTTTCTGGTCATGGTCATTATAAATGCTTGTAAGAATATTGAATTGCCTCGCGGATATAAAATTCTTATTTTGAGTACTAAAATAGCAAATTGAAATCTTTCCACCCTCTTGAGCTTCATGATCTCATCTGAACATTTAGTACATCTTTTTCCGAACCATGAAACCACCATTTGCTGAGAAGGTGACAAAGAAACAGAGATGTGGTTCTTTAGAATTATAGCAATTTCACATTTCTGCCACCACAATCTACTACACCTATTCATCCACCCACCTCCTGTCATTATTAATAGCCTTTTGCTTTCTCAATTTTCCATTCAAACCTAATCTTTCAAAAATGGGCTGACCACCAAATTGGGCCAGTCACTTTTATAAGCAATCCTTACAGATTTTCCGCTTTCAGTTTTTTTTAAAAAATAGAGTTATCCTAAACACCCTAAGATATGGTTGAGTAATATTATCAACCTTCTTAAATGTATCAGAAGGAGGCAAGGGAATTGTAACACAATATGATTTTATATTTAGGACTTAAGTCATACACTATGATAGATGTTGTTTAAAATGTTCTCACTAATATTAATTTGCATACTTTCAAATCAGATGGGAAAGGTATTGTTCATTAGATTTTATAATGTTGTAAAACAACACTCAATTAGTTGGAAACTTTTGCAACCTTATTGAAAAAGTTCATTATCATATGAGACATATTAAGAATGCTTTTAACATGAAACTTTTTCTCCTCCATATGTCCTTGAATTCAATGTTAAATTATTGTTGCTATAATAAAACAGAAGTCAGTGACCAGTGGCATTTAATGGTAGAAGGAATGATGGGAAATAGAATTTGGGAAATTCCTAACTCCACTAACAATTCCACAAGATATTCAGAATTTCCAAGACAGAAATTTAGACCTTGGTTTGTACAATAGATGAGTTCTTGTAATTTGAAATTTCAGAAGAAACCATGGCAAATATTTTGCTCAATTCCCTAATATTAAGCAACCAAGGACTAGCGAATTATCTGATGTAACCAGTGTGACAAAACTGGTTGGTAACGGCCCTAGAATCTAGGTCAGAGCTCTTCCCAAGCTCCCGCTTGTCTTTTCCATGAACTTATCATCAAATTAGTTGAATCAGAGAAGTTTCAACCAGAGAATTATTTTTCAAAAAGTTAATAACCAGCCGTTAAATTATACTATATTTTATAAATTCTGATAATTATACCTCTATTTGGTATACTTAAAGGAAAATATATTCAAGCAATTACATCTGTCAAATTTGAACTAAAAGGCTTTGTAGGTTGTGTGGGAACATAGTCTGAATTGATCAAAAGAGTGAAGTTAAAAATACTTCAGAAGAATTTTTTCTTTGGAGTAAATATGAGACTAGGCTGACTGTCTCTCAGAGACATTAGGGATTGTTTTTCAGTAACTGAATTTGAAGAATTAATAAATCAGATGTCTAAGCTGAGTTTTTCTATCTTTTCCTGCATTAGTGAAGTCTAATGCCCAGTCAGCTTCTCTCAAATTTGAATTTTGGAAGTCCTAATAAAGGTGTAATTATAAAAAATCTCCATCAAAGGGAAAGAAGGAACCTGGAAGAAAATACCCAAGATTTTCAATGGAGCACCAAAGAGGGACTTTGTCTGTCTTTTGACCTCATTTTTCTCTTTCATCATCATATATTATAAAGAGAAATGAGATTGTCATGCTAAGCATGTGATATACAAAAGATTTTGGACCTGTGGTTCTTGGTCTTCATGCATAATATTCAAATGTGGTTACTTGATTCTTGAATGCTGAATTCTTTTTTACAAATTTGTCTTGAGAATGAGGAACATTTGGCTGCTCAAAGGTATTCATTTTCATATGCGCTGGGTGGAGCCCATACCAAGGAAAGTTCAATGCCACAAAACAATTACTCAAGCCCTTTGGGTAAGCCACTGTTATCCAAGAATTAGGCTATTCATTGAAGAACTTACCTTCTGAGTTCTGGTCCTGTACTAAAAATTCTCACAAAGTGGTGACTACTCCTAGTCAATAAGAGAAGGGAACTGACATTTGAGCACCAGCGCTGTGTTTTACATGCTTCCTCATTCTCACAAAAGCTCTGTAAAATATGCATTACCCCACTTCACAAAAGAAGGAACCAGTTCTGGGAACTGAAGAAAATTTCTCTCAGTCACACAACCAGAAGACTGGTCCGTCTAGACTCAGAATTCAAGCCCATTCCACCATACTCTGTTCTTTCCCCAATTGAAGAACAGCTACAGGACCCCAGAATCTATGTATATATTTAAAGTGAAAATGTATTGTAAAAATCCAATGTCCTTTGGATATAAAGAGACTTGACTTTGCTATGATTGCCAGATTATGCCTCTGTGCATTTTATCTGCAAAATCTGCTGGCTATCCTTTAATTCAAAGAGCCAGAAGAAATTTCTAGCTATGATTAACTAACTCTAGGGTGAGTGTTTAAGACATGCAATTTAATGAACTGGGGAACATTTGCTTCACAGCCATCAAACCAGACTTAATCCCAGCTTCATTGCATTGAGATTGTCAGGTGCCAAAAGGAGTGATGACAAGGACCAAGGCAGATGTGATGACAAATTAGCAAGGGAGCCTGCAGGCCAAGAAAGAATCAGAAGGCATTTGCAGCATACATTCAAATATAATTTCAAGTCATCCAATGTCGTTGACTGAAAAAGGTTGTTAGAAAAGGAGCCCTGTTTTAACTGAAAGAGCCACAAAGACAAGACAGCTGAGCTCCCAGAAGGATCTGGTTTTGTCATCATTAACTTCATTGCTGGCTAAACATCCTGGGCTGGTTTTCACATGCAATGGGATCTTGTACGATGGAACATTAGGTCATGTCCAGTTTTCCAGAGCTAGTCAAGTATGTTCTACATTTAGAAGAAAAATTTCTGGGCCCCTGTCCCCTTAAAAGGCCACAGGACAGCCTAGGGTCAGTTAGAATAACAATGTCTTATTTTTACATACCACATGCAAACTGCCTCTAGAACTAAATAGACTACATTTTCATATTACTCAACTTGGAAAATATCAGTAGCACGGTGTTTGAATCATAGTCACAAAGATGAATATGAAAGACCTGCCTAACAGTGAATATTCACACACATTAGGGTACATTTCATCAGGGTGAACTATCTCCCAATGATGACTATCATGAAATGCAATGGTGTATTGAAGGGCCCCAAGAAAAAAATGTGTTACAATATAAATGTGTAAAAACCAAAAGATTTTTTTTAACCAAAAAACAAAGGATGTACAAACAGTATTTTTAAGTGTGAAAAAAAAGTTCACCATCATATTCATAACCAAAGTTGTGCCAAATAAAACTGTAATAAGATCTGCTTTCTAATACTTAAAAAAAAAAATGACACTCTTCAATGTAGGAAACAGTACTTTGAGATAAGATTTCTCATACTCGGCTAGAAAAACTGTAAATTCTTATAAGCTCTTTGGAAAGTAATTTACCAGTATATTTCAAACATCTTAAAATGTTCATACTGCCTCAGAAAGTAAAATGCTATCGGAAATTTGAGGGTGGGGTCAATTTGTTTTAACATTTAAGTTTGAGAACCACTGCCCTAGACATTCTCACCCACTTTCCTGGCTTAATGACCACCTGCTAGAGATTGACTGTTTATGTGACCCCAAAATTCACACGTTGAAACCAAATCCCCAATGTAGCAGTGTCTGAGGTGGAGCCTTTCAAGGGTGATTAGGTCATGGGGGACTCTGAGAACTCCTTGTCTGATTGCATCATGTGAGATTACAGCAAGAAGGCTCCAACTATAAGCAGGAATTGAGCCCTCATCAGGCATGGAACTGCTGATGCCTTGATCTTACACTTCCTGCCCCAAGAACTGCGAGTGGAAAAGTTCTCTCAGGGGACCAGCCTGAAGGCAGAAACCAGCAAGCGGAACCAATATGCCAGTGACCTCCGATAAATCCCGCCTTGATCAAGAGCTGAAGCTGATGGGTAAAGCCTTGCTACGGCAGCTTGTCCGCATCAGGTGCTGGACGAGCACAAGGTGAAGGAGGATTATTGCATATTGGGCCTGAAGATCGAGTATCTCTTAGGCGCCTGCAGACCCAGGTCTTTAAGCTGGGTCTGGCTAAGTGCATCCACCACCGGTTCCTGTCCACCAAGGCTGTCCTGCCTGTGTGCTTCCCATCAGCACAACATCAGGGTCCACAGCGGGTGATGAACTTTCGCCCCTTCATTGTCCGCCTGGCCTCTCAGAAGCAATGGACTCACATGGGGGATGGCCCCCAAGCCAGAGGAAGAGGAAGAATGCCAACAAGGGCCAGGGTGGGGTCTAAGATGGAGCCGAGGAAGAGAAAGATTAAGCCCGCCTCTCCCCTCCTGGGCTGAGAACTATTTTGTATTTCAGTCAAATAATAAAATAGGATAACACTTTTTTAAAAAAGAAAAACTGTGAGAAATAAATTTCTGTTGACTATAAGCCAACCAGTCTATGGTAATCTCTTAAAGCATAAGAGTGCACCAAGACACCATCTCTAGGCAGATGAGACCTAAATCAATATCTGTACTCCAGATGAATTTTCTAAATTCCAAGTTGATATTTCCAAAATAAGCATGTTTACAATTAAGTTCAGATATTTGCACCCCCAATCTTCTCTATCTCCAGTGATCCCAATCTCTACAAATGACACTATCATTTCTGCTCAAGCGGAAAAAAAACTACATGTCATCTTTCACTCCCCCCATTCTCTTCCCCTTCATCTACATATCCAATAAAGGACTATTTCCTAACAACATAAGATATTGCTGTGGGTCAATGTGTTCGCTCAAAATTCATATGTTGAAGTTTTAAAATATTATGTGACTCTACCTGGGGTCTTCAGGAGGTATTTAAGATCAAATGGCTAAATGAAACCATAATTCTCAATCCTATGGGGGCCCCAATCCCTTAGGTTTGAGAATTATAAAAAGAAGAGTGCCCCTCATTCCCGCTTCTCCACATCTCTCCTTCTGTCTCTGAGATTCAGCAAAAAGATGGTCATCTGAAAGCCAAGAAGAGAGCCCCTACCAGAGCCTGACCCTGCCTGACCCTGGGACTTCCAGGCTCCAGAACAATAAGAAAATTAGTCAATGTTGTTGAAGAGACTCAATCTATGACATTTTATTATGGCAGTCCATGAAGATTAAGACATATCTATAAACTGCTACCATCCTTGGATAGGCTATCATCACTCATTTCTTTCTTTATTCCTTCCTTCCATGCATCCATCCTTCTTTTCATTTGAGACAGGGTCTCACTAAGTTGCTGGCCTCAAATTTGGAATCCGCCTGTCATGGGCTCCCATATAGTTGGGATCCCAGAGTGTGCACTGCAGTGCCTGGCTACCTTCAGCTCTTGCCTGGGATACTGCGATAGTTTTCTGTGTCCATCTAGGTCAGTCTCACTCCTCTTTAGAACTTTATCTAAACCCAACTAGAGGGATATCATTATGTTAGGTTTCTTTTTAAAATCATTCAAAGGTTTTCCAATGTCTTTTAAATAATGCCCAAATATTTAACATAGATATATCAGGATGACATAAGAAATATTAATTGGTGGTCCCCAACCCCACTCCAGGATACTGACTCTTGTCTTTCCTCATCTAACTGTTTGCTGCCCTCAGTATTTCCATGGCCTCATCTGCATCCTCCTAGTCAGCCTGCTGTGAGAGTCACTTTTTGGCTAATATGTTGGAAAATATGACCTCTCCATAGCCCACTTACCTGTGAATCTGTGCTCAGGTCCAATTCTTTAGTACCCCATGGAGGATTTGCATATACTCCTACTCAGGGAGTATACGTTCTTCATTTTTCTAGTGCTCAACTGGCTATTTTGTTATTGTTGTTCAACTTCAAGTTTCTCTTCTTGGGTTTCTTTGTAGCATCCTCTTCCTGTCTTTGGGGAGATGCCTCCTAGCTTACAGTCCAAGTGGTGGAGGGTTGAAGGCTGACATAGTTTTTTGGGATTACAAACACATCAATTAATACTTTACAAACAGCCCCCAATACATTGGCTAAAATGTCTTGTTTTACTTGGCCTCTCTGTGATGCTCTCCACTCTCTCTAAGTCATTAGGTGAAAGCTACGCTGACTTAGTTCCTTGAATACACCAGGTTCTCTCCCACCTTTAAGGCATTGCACAAACTGTCCTATCTACCCAGAATACTTATTATTTTCTCTTCCCTTTGTGTATTCATCTATCATGTCTCAATAGAAACATCATATCCTAAGGAAGAATGTCTTTGACCACTTTTATATAAGAGAAGGCCTCCTGTTACACATTCCCAGCATACTCATAATTTCTTTCAACTTGTAATTTATGAACTTATACTTACTCACAATTATTTATTTAATGTCTATTTATGTTTAGTGGAATTTAAGCTATAAACCCCAGGTGTCTCTTTTGTTCTGTAATGGAATCTCAGTGTCTACAACATGCTAAGGGTTCAAGAAACATCTATGACTGATGACAAGGTTAAACTCTTTTTGCATAGATTTCAGAATTGTTTTTCCATAGCATCTAAGACTGCAAAAAATGTTTTTTTAAGTGTTCCACTTGCAACTACTTTTCTAAGTGTATCAGGATATCATCAATACCATGTAACCAATTCACATTTGGAAATAAATTTGCTTGCTTATATATAACCTATATACCTAGCTTAAGTTTCTTTCATTGTTCTTTTTCTTTCTTCTGTTTATTTATTTATTTATTTTTAGTTTCTGGAGATTGAAACAGGGACCTGGAACGTGCTAAATGGGAAGTAGGCACTCTACCACTAACCTTAATTACTGGCCCATTAGTTTAAAATGTTTTACTCCATCAAAAGAATTTCATTAAAAAATGAATGAATAAATAAATGCATAAAATAAAGTTATGTCTAGGCAGGGAGAGGTGGCACATGCCTGTAATCCCATAGGCTCAGGAGCCTGAGTCAGGAGGATCACAAATTCAAAGCCAGTCTCAGCAATTTAGCGCAGCCCTAAGCAA